AGCCCAGGTTGTTGTAGAGGTGGGATACTAGACGGATGGCAGTTACCCACAGTACTCGGCCACTCGGTTGTCCAGATGAATCCCTCTGAAGACCCCACCCACCCTTCCACTCATCTTTTTGTCCTGGCGCACCCCCACCCCCCCCTGTCCTACCCTAGTGTTAACCAGCCAGGACCATCACCCATTGCCATCTTGGCGGGATGACCTGGCGAGACAGCTGTTGCAGGTACTGGGGCTAAGCAGAGATGCCTACCCCCTGCTCAGCCCCGGCTGAAGCAGACGCCGTAGAAGCCTGATTGCACGGGGACTTCGGGAGCTAGGTATGAACATGCTACTACAGGTCTTCATGAGGGTGCACAGTGACTCCCATCTAGGCTAAGATTAGTTGTGTGGTGATGATAGAGAGCTGGCTATCCTCCGTTCCCTCGTATGTCCCTGGAGCCCATTCCAGCCATGACTCCCCCAACATCCCATACTAAGGAACTGCTATGCCAGCCTCAACCCTATGCTACATACTAGGAGGATAGCCGACCCTAGGTCATGAGTTATGAACTGAGTTTCTTATCCGTATGTTGTCTTTTTACTACAGTGTTCTATGGTGTTGATGATAGAGAGATGGGAATCCTCCGTTCCCTCATATATCCCTGGAGCCCGTTTCGGCCCCGCGGTAAGGTACAGTGCCTCCTGACACCCCCGACATCCATACTAAGCACTGCTATGCCAGCCTCAACTCTAAGGTACGTACTAGGAGGATAGCCCACCCTCAATCGTGAATCATGGACTGTATGTATTGACCCTGGATAATCTATTATCCCTGTGTTGTATGGTAATCGGAGAGCAGACAAGCCTCCGTTCCCTCGTATGTCCCTGGAGCCCGTTCCGGCCCTGCGGTGAAGTGTTAGACCACTATGTCCTGACACTCCCAACATCCCGTACTAAGGAACTGCTATGCCAGCCTCAATCCTTCGACTGCGTACTAAGAGGATGACCAGCCCTAAGTAACAGTCTGGTATCGAACACAGGACCTTACGTGAATTGTACAAGTGACCTAACCTATTGACCTACACTGTGAAATAGTCTGTAGCTGTGCTCTGCTGGGCTCGAGTAAACCGGACTATGCAAGCCACCCAGCAGTCTCATGACAACCCCGTAGACCAAGGACATCAGGATACCCACCATCGCCCAGTCCCCACATACAACAACCATGGACTACTCCTTGGGTGGTGCGCAGGCAGTGTCCGTCATAACTTACCTGCGTCATCCCAAGGGGGTGTGTGTCCAGCCGTGCATCATTCGAACGCCCTGCCGGTGTCCATCCGCAAGGCTGCGGAGTTTTGAACCCTCAACCTTATACCACAATGCGCATTTCCAACCGGTGCTCTAACCACTGAGCTACATCAACTGGACGAACCGTCGTTTTTTTTTTTTTTTTTTAACCGTCATTTTGAATCCAGAGCGAAGGCACCTTTTTTCCTACATGCTGCATCTATGTGGCTGAAGGGCACACACATGAAGCTTCGGATACAGAGACCAAGAGTTCAGTTCAGATCCTGCCAAACACAACTTTGTCTCTCTCTATTTGTTTCTAACCCTCGCTCCTTTTTTTTTTCAAACAGTTGTTTTTAGAATCTCTGAATGTTCCTTACAAAAAAGCTCTGAAGTAGCCTCAGTATACCGTTAAGAAGAAAAAAAATAAAATAAAAAAAATGCGAAGGCAAAAAAAAACAGACGCACCCTCAGAGATATCACGGCACGAATTCGAAACGGCAATTTTGGCAAAAGCATCCGCTGGGCCTTCTTTTCTTTTTCCTTTTCCCACCTCCACGGCCGACCCCCGTAGTTATGACACCCGTGCCTCTGTCACAGCCACCGTACTTTCATTGCTTTTCCGAAATCGGCAGCTGTTTTCTTTGTGGGCATGTTTTTTTTTTTTTTTTTTTTTTTTTTTGCGCATTTGAAACTCAACACTGACATCAACGTGCTTGCCCCAATTTTTTATTATGGGCCCAGTGCCCAAGGCCAAATACATGTACAAACAAACCAAGAAAAT